AATAGAAGATAAATTAGTGGTGATCCATTTAGTCCAATCTTGTTCTGATCAAAAGGTTGCTAGGTGGTTTCCATAGATTCTGCTCCAGATTTGTTGGGATTTAGGACAGTCTCTGAAAAGGTGGAATAAACTCTCGGTTTGACCACAGAAACAACATATATCATCCTCCGCTAGATGTCTCCTCTTCCTCTCTTCATTAGTTAGCAAAGATTTTCTTAACAAGGACCAAAGAAAGAGACGAGTTCTCTCTGGACCCTTCCAGCTCCAAATGAGCTTCCACTTCTTGTCCTCCGGGCCCCAATTCCCACTGTTAATTGCTTTGAAAGCGGATGCCATAGTGAAGCGGCCAGATTTGGACCATCTTCAAGTTGGTTTGTCTGGTCCGATGTGGTCCTTCGGGGGTGGAATTGCTCTGATCATGTTTAACTCATTGGTTGATAACCATTCACTGAGAATTTCCCAGTTCCACTCACCGCTTGTACTTACATAGACATTGATTTTTTGGTGGAGCAGGCTGTCTGGGACTTGAGACTTCGCATAGTGCATCAAGGGGTTGTCTAGGTCAAGCCAGTGATCCTTCCAGAAGGAGACAGAGTTTCCATTACCAATGACCCATTTGATTCCATGGATGGCAGAATTCCATACAAATGAGAGTTGTTTCCAAGGGGGGGGGGGGCTTGTTGAATCCTAGAGCTGCAGCTGGTCATGTATTTGGCTATAAAGATGGTTGTCCACAGACATTCCCTGCCAGAGATGATTTCCCATGCCAATTTTAGAACAAAAGTGGTGTTAACTTCTCGTAATTTCCTGAGGCCAAGCCCTCCCCTCGACTTAGGCTGGCAAACACTATTCACTAAATTCATCTTCTTTTCTCCTGTTTTTGCACCCCAAAGAAACCTCCTTATTTTGTCAATTTCATCGCTTGTGCCTTTTGGGATGACTTGAGATTGCATTATGTAAATAGGAACTACCGCCAAGGCTGACTGATAAAGTGTCAATCGACCCGCCATGCTTATTTTGTGTGGGTTCCACTTGGACGTGCGCTGTTGAACCTTACATATAAGGGACTGAAAGATGTCCTTTTTTACCCTACTATGGATGATAGGGATCCCCAAGTATTTACCAAGGTTATTGGCTAGTTGCACCCCCAGGGAGTTGGTGAGGGATGCCGCCACCAAAGTATCAATGTTCGGTGAATAGTACATTACCGACTTTGCCAGGCTGATTGCTTGTCCCTAATGATAACAAAAAGGTTGAATAACATTCCGAATGGTTTGAATCTGCTCCATACCTGCTTCTGCAAACAGGATTAGATCATCAGCAAAAAAAAGGTGAGATAAGGGTGCATGATTGTTATCGAAAGTGATTGGTTTCCAACGGCCAGCTTGTACTTTGAAGTTAATAGCATGGGAGAGCCTTTCCATACAAAGGACAAAATTATAGGGAGAGAATGGATCTCCCTGACGCACTCCTCTGTTTGGCTTGAATTCTTCGCCCAATTTACCATTCCATATAATCCGTGTTGATCCTGTTTTTAGGGAACTGAGGATGATATCACGTAAAATGGCTGGGATTCTGGCTTGTTGTAGAGTGTCATCAATAAACTTCCAGCGTACTCTGTCGAAGGCTTTTGCCAAGTCAATTTTGATGGCAATCCAACCCCTCGAACCTTTGGTGGTGGGCATGTGTTGGACTATTTCTTGCGCAATAATGATGTTGTCTATTATGTTCCTTCCTGCAATAAAGCTTGATTAAGTTTGTGCAACGAGAGTTGCCATGACTTTCTTTAACCTGTTCGCTACCACTTTGGAAATTATCTTAGCTGATACATTAATTAGGCTTATATGCCTTAAGTTTTGGAATCTCTCCGGGGGAATGATCTTGGGGATTAATACCATCATAGCTTCGTTGATTGCAGGGCTTACTTCTCCTTTGTTGAAGCTGTCTCTGACCAATTTGATGACGTTTTGCCTACCGTCTGCCAGTTATTTTGATAGAAACTAGCATTAAAGCCATCAACACCTCCGACCTTTGTTGGGTCCATCTCAAAAACAGCTGCTTTGACCTCTTCATCTTACACCGGTCTGTTTAGAAGGATTTCCAGTTTTGGTGGGATTGGAGGGAAAACATCCCTAACATGGTAAGAGCCCGTTGCCGAACTTTCACCCGTATATAAATTCTTGAAGAATATTGTTGCTTCTTTCCCTAAGATGTCTTGATCAGAACACCAATCGCCATTTTCTAATTGTAACTCCATGATCTTTCCTCTCTTGGTCTCGTATCTGTGGGTTGCATGGAATAATCTTGTGTTTCTATCTCCTTGGCCCAGACATACCGATCTCGAGTTTTGAGCCCTCAAACATTTTAAGGACTATTTTCATTTTGGCCAACTTTTAAGCCCGAAAATAGTATAGGCCCGCTATTGGTCACCAATTCTTCTTGTCCAAACAAACGCCTCTACTGAAAAATAATTTTTTCAAATGAAAGAAATCACGACTTCTCTTTGGCTATATATCCCTAGCCTTAGAGATCAATGCTATGGGAAACTAAAAGAAAATTCGGGACTGAGTCATTCCAAAATCAAGCTGCTAATATATCTTTGGGTTGAACTTTAAGTAGTCACAACAACCTTCAGAGGAGAAATTTCCAGTCATAAAGTTGTTAAATTGGGATATCCACTTGAGATTCTTACGTCCGGCAGGTGCTACATTTGGAAAAATAAGGCAAATAGTAACGATAGTAACGAAGATCTGGAGTTGGTTCAAAGTACTTTAAGACTCTTTAATTTCAAACCAAAAAAGGGTTACAACTATAAAATGCTATTTTTTTTAATTAACTTACCATAAAATTGTTTGAGGTTAAAAGCATAGAGTGTCACCCAAGCATAATTAAACTGGGAAATCGAATAATGGCCTCCAGGAGTGGAGGGATATTGGAGATGTGATATGTTACTTGCATAAGATAGAACTTGATCGAACTCAAGGATTAGACATCATTAGAAGAGTAGATAAGAAACATATGAATTCATTCAAAAGAAAGTTACTAACAAAACATCCACAAAAGGAAGCAAACAAAGGCTTTTTTTTTTGGGGGAATAAATTTTCTTCTGTCACATAGGATGCGTACGTGCCCGATAGACCCGAATCTTTTTGGACCATGGAGAAAATTTTAGATACAACTAATTTTATAAACTAGTACTATTAGAAGACTTATATTCATACTACTCTCACGAGCAATGCCAACAGAATATTATTAACTTTTCCGAGTCCCGAGTTGACACCATGAAACAAAGCCCATAAGCAAGACAAAAGCGGCATAATATCGAGAATCCATTGTATACGATGTTGGTTTCTTCTGGGTTGCAAAGATTGATTGGTGCTGAACGTGCTCCTCAACGGTCGCGAAAGTCAAGATTGGTTTTTCTGTTTGCTATGTTGTGTCCTCTTGATTGTTGTGAAATATTTCAAGATTTTTTTTTTCAATTAAAAATGTGTACTAGGTAAAACATATAACAAATCAAAATACTTTATATTAAGGATTGGAAAGAGTATATACTGAATGGCATCATTTGATGCTAGAAACTTTAGGCAGGAAAATATTGCGTGATAAGATGCCACATGTCTTTAGTAACAGTTGCTGTCATTAGGTAAAAATAGATCTATAATTATCTTTGCTTTCTTTCCCAAGTTAAAAGGTGTATTATTATTTTCTTTGTGGACAAAATTAAGAAATTGTATAACCACTGTTTTTTTTCCAGTGAGGCAAATAGATGTAGCAGTATTCACTGGGATTAATAGGAATACTAAATGAATTTGTTCTTGCTACAAGGTTACCATTTCAACCTGTCGCTAATTTCCTGGGAGTATTATTGTAAGGATTGAACTTTTGGGAGGAGGCTAATTCACACATATATATTACTTGGTCTTGAGTTTGAAGATGGGTACACATGCATATGATAGACAAGAAGATGTAGTTGTTGGTCATTTTGAGATCCCTACCTTGCTTGTAATAACACTTAATTAAGTATTGTGTGAAAATGGTTGTAACAGAGTGAAGAACAAATCATATATGGGTGTAAGGGTGACTGGCTTTAAAGGAGGAACTTATCCATCGTCGGTCAAACACCAGCTACCCCTTCCATCAGTGGTTTGGATGATTGGGTGATCATTGCACTAGAAGCTAGTTGCAACATCTTATTGTTGAAAGGGGCACCCAAACTGTGAAGCAAATTCTAGTTTGAAGTTTCAAATCTCAGTCCAGAAGGTACAACATGGTTGAGTAGAGATATTATTTGTGCTCAATCAGATTTCCTAGCTCTAACAATGCAAATAGATTTTCAAGTTTTGAACTGTTCTGAATTTTACTTGTTCTTAGAACCTTGATGACAAGGTTCAATTTTTAGGGAAAAGGATTTGTTAGCTAATAGCTCAGTTAATTGCAAACGGTGTTGTTTAGGTCTTCAATTAGCTGTATATCCTTGTAATAGAATAGAGATGGAAGGGAGTCGGTTAATGAATCATTTCAGTCTTTTTTTTTTTCAAATCTCTTTTTTTCTCTAATCTCTTTATACTATATTTTTTCTAATAATTTCTCTCCCTTTTTACGATTCGGATATGACTCGGATCCTTCTAATTCTGAGCTATTCATAACAATTTGTAATATTGTAACAACTGGGTCCATATTATTAAATAGTTTGCGGAAGCCAAAATTACCACTATGTACGCAAACTAGTAAAAATATTTTATCTTAAAAAAAATAGTCTATATTTATTTTTGAGATTTGTATTTTTATACTTGTTTAAGTAGAAATCTTAAAATTTGATGTGGTAGTCTTAATAACGTGTTTGTACGATGAAAAGATTATCGATAAAATTAGTTTGAAGCATAAAAAATATTGTTTTAATTATAATTAATTAACTAATACAAAAAAAAAAAACGAAATTAAACTGAGATAGATATGGCTAGCTAGCATAGCATGGTCTCGTCTTCCTTGGGCTCAAGTCAATACTCATCGGGCCAGAGGAAAGCCCCCATGGCGAACTTCCGCCTCTGATCAAGGTCTCCGATAGCTGATGTGAGAAGCCTGTATTCTCTGAGAAGGCAGTCCAGCTGGGACTCCGGCATCTTCTCGTAATCAGCCTTCTTGAATCTCGGGTAATGCAGTGGCATTTGAAATGCAGTAGTTGCGCTTCCGGCGCCGCCATTGCTGCTCCCTGATGGCATCGAAAGCATCATGATTTGGTTGCCTTGGTGGCGGTTCTGGTGGTGATGGTGGCTGCCGTTGGAGATGTTCTGAGGAGCCATAACACTGATTGGGTCGGAATTAAGAGGATGCTTGCAAATTTGTTGTTTGTTGTTGGGGAGTTTAGGGTTGATGATGGAAACAAAGAAGTGGAGGATGGATGCCCCTTTATATAGAGGTTTTGTTTACCCTAACTCCCAGTGGGATCCGAACCCATACTCTTCCTCTACTCTTAAAAGCCTTTTAACATTAGCCATTGGTTTGTTGTTCGATTCTCCTTTGGAATTGGGATCAAATTAAGGAAGGAAAGAAACTTCTGCAAGTTTCTAATTTGTTCACTTAATTAATAAAGTTTTGGAATCTAGACTTCAATTGGTAAAGTATTCGATGAAGGGTAAAGAGACTAATTGAAATACGACTCTTGAAAAAAAAAAATTACCTCAAAAGCTTATTAAAGAAGTGAAAAAGAATCTCATATCATATGATCAAATCACACGTTAGAATCTCATAATTAAATGCGAGATTCGAAACCAGTCCATACTCCATACTTCAGTATTTATGTTTAACATTTGCCCTTGGTGTTTCTTACCTTACAACTACATAAGTATACACGAGAACCTCCGTTTATTTTTATTTGTATAATAGTAATTTAATTTTCAAAAATTACATAGAATATTAATAATAAATGGTTCACATAACATACTCTCTCCACTTCAAAAAAAAAAAACCAAAAACAAATTCCACCTGTCTTAAGGGGACATTAATGTACTAATATTTTTGGTAATTTTTAACCTAAAATTAGGGGATTCTGTGAATGTTCTTAATTTGTACTCCGTTGACATCTGTTCATTAAAACCTATTCAAGCTAACTTCATGCATGTTGAATTTGCTCAATTCTCTATTAAATATTCAAACAACACCACATGTACAGCTGGGCAAGATATTCGATCATTTTTCTACTGAAATTAATATGTACTCCATGTCTCCATCCATCTAGAAGAATTAAATATTCATGCCTAGTGTCTCTCTTACAGGCATGCCAACAGAATATTATTAATTAACTTTTCGGAGTCCTGAGTTGACACCATAAAACAAAGCCCAAAATCAACGCAAGAACAAGGAAGACAAAAGCGGCATGATACCGAGAATCCATCGTGTACGATATTTTTTTCTTCTGTGTCGCTAAGATTGATTCGGAGAAGACTTCCGATTTTGTTGTGCGAGGAGGGAATTAGGGTTAGAGAAGTTTAGGCATCGGTTAGCCACTATACCCCCCTTTTGCAGATTCGGGTTACATTTGTTTACTCTTTCCATTGTGTTTCCTATTTTTCTTTTTTCCCCCTCCTTGTTCATTTATTCTTTATTATTTTATTTTCTTTCCTGTTGTTGATTGACACAAAATTTTATATATACTGTAAATAAATCGGGTGATATGAATGTAAAAACCTTTTTCCTTTTCCCTTGAATAGGTAACTTCCATTTTACTGGTGACTTGTGGAATCGAATAGGTAACTTCTATTTTACATATAGAAACCGTAAGTTTAAGTATTATTCTTATATATCAAAATAATATTACTTTCTGTCCCACATCGGTGGTGGGAGAGACTTTATATCAATATATAAGTTTATGAGCTACTCGTGGAACCCCATGGACTTCTATATGGTATCAGAGCTAGCCCGCCAAGAGTCGGACTCGAATCCTGATGTGATAAAACTAGTAAGGCTGAAATGTGAGGCGGAGTCTATAGGCTTCTCCCCTCATAGCCGAAATCTCATAGACTTCTATATGGTATCAGAGCTAGCTCGTCAAGAGACGAACTCCAAATCTGATGTGTAGATTTCTATTTGGTAGCTGAGCCAGCTCGCCAAAAGCCGGACTCCAAGCCTGATGTGATAGAACTGGTAGGGTTGAGACGTGAGGTGGTGACTGGGCTGAAACAAGCCTATGGAGTTTCACCTCAAAATCAATTGGCAATGGGGGAAGTAGCCCACAAACTTATATATTGATACCAAGTCTCTCCCACCACCGATGTAGGATACTTTTTTCCTTATTAAATAATATAATAATATTATTATTTAAGCGGAAGTAGGCTAGGGTATTTCAGAACGGGAAGAATTTGGGAAAACACGATTCTTTTCATTAACTCTCAATTAATTTGCTTGAGTCTATGTACAAGTATGTATACGTGGCAGGCAATATTGCAAGAGTTCAAGCAATTTTTACACTATTTGTCAAAATTATATTCCTTCTGTCCCATAAAAATAATTCACATTGAATTTTGAGTTTCGTACTGTTTTTAGTTCAAATATGAAAATTCAATATGAGCTATTTTTTTAGGATGGTGGTAGTATTTATTTTGGTTAAACAACTCTAGATCGCCTCTTTCCAGGCATCCTGTTCCGGAATGTTGATTTTGTTTTTAGCTTGTCTCATCCTGTCCATATGCTGAGATCAGAATTATCACTCTCCAATCCCAGTCATTATCCTCATTTTACTTAATTTCTTAACTGGGTCCAATATTATTAATTAGTTTTTTCAAGGATTAATTAAGCCAAAATTATCACTATGTTCTTATGCACAAACTAGTAAAAATATTTCATCTCTCTTAAAAAATATTCCACGTTTAGTTTTGAGATTTATATTTTCGTACTTATTTTAGTACAAATCTTAAAAATTGATGTGGTACTCTTAAATACGAGTTTGTACGATGAAAAGGTTATCGATAAAGTTAGTTTTAAGCATAAAAAATTGTTGTAATTATAAATAAGTAACTAATACAAAAGAAAGTAAAAACGAAATTAAACTGAGATAGGTATTGCTAGCTAGTATGGTCTCTTCATCCTCGGGGCTCAAATCAATACTCATCAGGCCAGACGAAAGCACCCACGGCAAACTTCCGCTTCTGATCAAGGTCTCCGATTGATTTGGTCGGAAGCCCGTATTCTCTGAGAAGACAGTCCAGTTGGGATTCCGACATCTTCTCGTAATCAGCCTTCTTGAATCTCGGGTAATGCAGTGGCATTTGAAATGCTGTAGTCGAGCTTCCGTCGCCGCCGTTGCTGCCCCTCGACGGCATCGGAATCATCGTGATTGACTGCCTTGGTGGTCGCTGCCGTTGGAGATGTTCGAAGGAGCCATAACACGCGCTGATTGGGTCGAAATCAAAGGGATGCTTTCGAATTTTTTTTCGTTGTTGTTGGGGAATTTAGGGTTGATGATGAAAACAAAGAAGTGGAGGATGGGTATGCCTTTATATAGAGGTTTTGTTTACCCTAACTCCCAGTGGGATTCGAACCCATATTCTTCTACTCTTCAATGCCTTTTAACATTAGCAATTGGTTTCTTGTTCGATTCTCCTTTGGAACTGGGATCAAATAAAGGAAGGAAAGAAATTTTTGCAAGCTTCTAAATTATTCACCTTAACAAAGAACCATTATGGGCTTGTTATGTATTTCTGTTTAACAAATTGCAGTAGAGAAACTCAGCTTAATGTTTTTTCTTTTCTTTTTTCTTTTTTGCATAATAATAATGATATTTGATTTTCAAGACTTGCTTAGAATTTAATAATAAGTGACTATCATAATGTATTCTCTCCACTAAAAAAATAAAATAAACAAAAATTTCACTTTGTTATGGGGACAATGTGAATATTGAGTATAATAGTCAATCACTCTGTTCTCAAAAAATAGTTTATATTAAGTTTTGAAATTTGTATTAATTTTAGTACAAATTTGAAAATTATATATGGATTATTTTCCGGAATGAAGTAGCTTTTTCTTGTATTAAGTTAAAAATAATCATTTTGATAATCTTTGACCTAAAGTTTAGGGGATTGTGTGAGGTGTTCTGGATTTGGACTCCTGTGACCTCTGTTCGTTAAACCTGTACAAAGCTTCTAATTGCATGCGTGTTTTGCTCGATTCTATTCATTCAAACAACACAACGGTTGTGAAGGAAATTCGGTTTCTTGACTGAAATTAATATGTGTAGTGATACAAAGAAAATTTACAGGAAAAGCTGAGAAGAAATGATGTGTGAATCATCCAAATTATGTCATAACCTTAAATGTTTAAACATTAAATAAATACAAAGTGTTAAAAATAAATAATTATAATTATTTCTTTGTAAAATTTTCCTACATAAATCATTATCCAATTAATACGAGTATACTCCATCCTTCTGAAAAATGATTGGAAAAATTTAATGTGATTTTTTAATGTAACAAGAAGGTAAAGTATTTTTTACTTGGTGACTTTTAATGTATATTGTTAGCGTTCAAGTGAGAGTACATGTTTCATGAATCATTTAAACCTACTAGTTAATATGCTAGCGCTGTATAAACTACGCATAATTTTGTGTTTCATCACATCTTGATGTACTAGTGTGGCAAAAGATTCACATCATCAGGTGGTCATTGTTTTGTACATTTTGAGTTGATGTATATAGAAGTAGTGTAGTGGTATATGCACTACTTCTCGATGATTGTAAAGTGATTCATCATAGACAAAAATATATGTTGATGTATGTTAAAATAAAAAGATTCAAGTCTGAAATATGACTACTGTAAAAGTATTACTTTCCTTTTTAATAAAATCTCTAAATACAACAACAACTTTTATTTTGTAATGAAGGACGTATATTATACTATTAAGAACACTATTCTCTGGTTGACATTGCGCACTCTGTTAGTGGCATTGCACTGAAGCCGATGGCATTTTGATCCCTGCCTCTTGAGGACGGCAGGCAATTTTTTTATAACTATAATAATCAGTAAATTTCTCATTTATGCTGTTAGCCTATATACTTAATCGTAAGAATTGGATTTTGAAAAATAAAGTTCCAACTTGTGTTATACAAATTGTAATTGTTTGTTTCCTAATTTGAAAAATTAAGCTGTTAATATTCATTCCATTCTAAAATAAATATTATGATAGATAAAAGGAGGTATAAGTTTAAGGAAAAGTTTAGATCTAGAGTGTAAATAATCAATAAAGAGGGTACTATTTTTTAATAATCTGTATTAGTGGCAGTATAATTTTACTATACATGACTTTAACACTCAATATATATATTTTTTCATTTCATTTTTCAACATATAAATTACAATCTATTTCCAAAGTAATATAATTTCTAAATATTAATATAGAAAAATTTAAAGCTTACATGATGAAATATATATTTATGTTAATTTATAAAAATAAAGGACAATATTCCCTAACTTATAAAAAGAGATTTTAAATTCTTTCATTTTTTGGCATAACGTTAATTTTTTAAATAAACCAAATTTTTTGCTTCCGCGATCTGAATTGACAGTCTTTTTTTTTCCCCCAAAAAAACTTATACTTAAATAATTATAAACAGCACATATCACATGGATTTAATCACATTTATATATTGTATTCTATGTGAGCGTAAAACTTAAAATTTAGTAATTAAAAAATTCTTGAGTTTGCTTGTTGATTAAGTACGCATACATGTGATAACCAGTTTAACATTGTTATATTAATCATACCCACAACAAAAATGAATGGAGTAAACTTCAAAAGTATTTAAATCAATATAATACAAGGATTCTTTTTAATTATTAATAAATCATGTTTGTATAATCAAATTATTATGTCCTTAATACAAATTATTATGTCCTTAATACAAATTATTCAAAACTATTACCTTCTTTATCAATTATTTGTTTTTCACTTCACCTCATCCAAATTTTTCCCTAAGTTTAAAGCATATTTACTATTTCATAGGAGTATATGATGCGAGGGTTGTGAGACCGTAAAAGAGGGAAATTATTTGCACAAAGTCGTATGTTGAAGTTTTGTTTGTAAACTTTAAAGCTCTCTATCTATCCTGAAAATTAAGTTATTTTGTTCGACCAAAATAAAACTATACTCTCTCGGTCCCAAAATAATACATACACACCCAAGTGATAATCATTTCAGGACTGTCATTTCGGACGGAGGAAGAAACAAACTGAGAGGGAGGGAGTACTGAAATGAGAAAGAAAACTTTTTGGTCATTAGAATATGCACTCATACGCCGCAAGCGAAATTGGGCTGCCTTTTTTATTTGAACGTGAAGTAAAACTGAACTGATACATATACGTTACCAATCTGGTGTGAAGATTTGTGGTCTAGCAGATTCTACATGCAGGGAAAGAAGTATCCTAAAACTGCTTCCTTCCCTTTGTCATGGATTCTCATTACTGATATAAAGAGGAATGAGACCAGAACTACAACTCTGCACCATCAACATTATACATACTGTAATAGCTTCTAAGAGGATTCAGTGATGACAGTATTTGTGTCCTCAAACGATGTATTTTCCCGGAGATACCTCCACGGTCCTGTACCGGAACAAACCCTGCACACAAGGCACATAAGCTATGCCAGCATACTCATGGGAAACTTTGTAAAAAGCTTCTTAGAAGCACAAAGAGTGAATCATTTCATTTGTTCCAGTTGACAAATAGCGTTTGGTTATTTACCTCCAAAAGCCGGCAAAGGCACGCAGAAGCATGTATATGCTCAAAGCAATTCATATTCCAACGAATCCATAAAATTGTGAAAGAAGAAACAAGCATCCGATGCTTGCTGCTGCCACCATGACCTGCGCCATAGGGGAATGTTACACATATATAGTTGAATATAGAGATGAAACAATGCCAATGATGAGAACTACTTACCACTTGCACTAGATTCAGATATTAATGAATTTCTATTCTGGAAATAACCGAATCATAGTAATGGAAGTTTAATTTTCATCAGGAACACATCACATCATTTCTAATTTTAAGCTAGTGGATTTACCATGGAGTAGGCAGAATACGCGAAATCAAATGAGCCATAGTTAATTCCATCAAATACAAATGCCAATGAGTTGATCGGTTGTGTGCCTGCGACAAACTAATCAAGGGGGACAGAAACTTTTCAGCAGTCAGTCTTAAACAGAATAGAAGATGGAAGTTGAAGCGGGCATGCATCAATTGGTGGTTTTTGCTGCAGAACATACCGGGACTCCTACACTTATGATGAGAATGACATGTTTATCTTTTGTAAATATCCCAGATCCAAAGTACATACCGAGCCCCACGACTAGAGCTAGGATCAGTCCCAGCACAAATCCCATCTGCATAAAGAAAATCACAGAGGCTTTAGACAGCTTACTTTGACAATGAGAATTATCAAAGCTAGAAGCAAGTTTTGACGTCTTGCGCTATTTTCATTTCAAAGATCAGATGGTATATCAATGATAATTGTGAGCACTACTACTCAAAGATATGTTTCATTTCTAGAGGTTTCAAGAGCTGATAATACATGACTGACTACAGTATGTAAATTTCCAGGTCTTGAAAATATCTCTGCTTATAACAGTAGCCACATGCTTTTACCTGGATGACTCGCCTAGCAGTTGCTGTTGCTTTCTTGAAGTCCTTTTCAGCAATTGCACAGGCAAGAATGGCCTGAAGGCATATTGCAATATCAGAAAAGCTTGCAAAGTAAATTGTTTGGCTGATTGATAAATTTTCTCCAACAACTAAATTATGTAAGAAACATATGAGCTTTTCCAGAAAATGCAATCCCAAATATGTAAGATTAAGCAATATAACCTTCATATTGACTAACTAATAGATGCCAATGAAGAACATTCTTTTTTTTTTTTTTTTTGGCTATTTCTCTGTTTATGATATATTTGTTGGAAGATTTTATCATTTTATTCTTCACTGAAGAAAAAAAGCCAAAACCGGCTTCGGTTAATGCCTCCACTAAATTATATCCTTATTGCCTTAATGACATTGGAATTCAACATTGGAGTCACAATCTGACATCCGCTCCATGTAAACTGAATCCAACCAGAAAACTTTTTAGCATTGGAGGGGGGGGGGGAGGGTTTAAAATTCTCAGCTGAGATAATATTCTTTATTGTGCGATCACAAGTAGTAACATCAGCCAACATTTCTAATCTACAGTAAAGTGCAGTTGTGAGAACATAGCTCACCTGTCCGGCCACAGCCAAGCCATCAGAGAGAAGTGATGATGCGAGCCAGACCTGCAAGCAAACTTGGAATGCAGCCATGGGTGTTGCTCCAAGCCTAGCAGCCCTTGATGCAGCCAAAGTCACGCATATCGTTGCAGCCAACACTCTTGCTAGTATCAGAAAACCTGTGACATCAAAGAGAAAAGGCAGAGTCAATCAAGAAAAGTTTGTTCATCTACTTACCCAAATGGTTGATTTAGATGGAAAGTCAAGTCGACACAAAATGATAGGTCATATCAACATAGAATAATCATAAGGAACATCAACCATAAAATAATGAAGATGATGGATAGGATTTACTCCAGATAACTACCCTCGTGTGTTCTTAAAGTGATACAGAATTGACTCCAGTCTCCATATTAGTTCAATTCTACTATTATAACTTTAGTACAGGGATGAAAATCCCCAGTTCACTCTTAGAATTATGCTGGAGACCAGGGAACAAATTCACTAATATGAATGAGTTCCATACATGGTTCGTCACATAAAAGGATAGCAAGAATCTCGCATGATAACATGACACCTACCACTCTTGAGAAATTTACTGAACTGCATATGTTTAGTACTTGGAGGTAAAAGGTCAACTTGCTTGATTAGTTTGCACAAGAGAATTATTGAAATCAAGTACCTGCCAGGGATCAATTAAGCCGAAAGTTATTAGGTGCTGTGAATTATATAAAAAGGTATATAAAACACCAAATGAAGGATTCACCACATCCATCGGGATACAAAACTTACTGAGAAAGAACGTGAGCAATGGCAGCCCCGCTAACACCCAGATGGCACACAAATATGAAAATTGGATCCAAAATAATGTTAGTAGTATCTCCTGCAACTGTTGGGGCAAAAACATAAGCTGAAGTTAGTTGAAACATTTATGAGTTCTACAGATCATGTATAGTCCCTGATAACAAAGCTGAAATTTCAAATTGATTTCAATGATCTATTATCTGTGATCAAAGTATCAGAATATACTGTCTCTCATTGAAATATAATATATCTAGCACTGTTCTGAATCTGTGATTTAAACATCTTTGACAGAATACTTTGCTGCCGCTTGTAAACCCAAAAAGAGGTTTCATATTGATTCACCAATAGTAGAAACATAAAAAATGTAAAAGAAGAAGGAAAGGAATTTAAATTACCAGTGGCATACAAAGGAGTTTTTGTATCCTTGAAACCACGGAAGACACCTTGCATAGCCAAAGAAAGTGCCACTGCTGGAGAACCAAGTGCTCTGAGCGTTAGATACTTCCTTGCTGGAGACAGCATTGCAGATCCCTATTGAATATCAAAGACAAATCAAGTGAGAAACCACTTCTAAGAAGATAAACATTAAGAGGCTTTCTTGTCACCTAAAAAGCATTCCTCATGGGTCAGTCTGCACAGAATGATACAAAAGAGGAGGTCTGGATTTTTCATGTTCGTAAATAAGTAGATATTCCCCATCGGAAAGAAATGTAGTAAAAGGACCACACATAACATGTCATTAACTAATGAAGAAATGCCAGGCTGCAATGCATTAAACCTGAACATTATTTCTTATCTTTCAGTGCCCTGTGCGCATCAAGTAGAAGAAGAAAAGCTTTTGTTTAGAAGACAGCACAGGCACTTATGTATTCGGTGCTTTAAAACATTATTGCTATCTAACAAAATTAAAGCGGACTGAACAATGAATCTACCTCGAAAAGGATTCTGTTTCTGTTGTATTAGTGAAATGCAAAAAACATCATGTTCAAGCAAAAGTTTAGAATGTCCGGACAGGGAGTAATTGCACATTTATCAGATAAATCACTCAGCTATAAGTTATTCAGGATTATCCGAAGGGGGAATAAAATAATACTGAAAGAAACAGAATAACCGATGAAATAGTATAACTCACAGCTTTCACACCCATTAATCCAAGCACTGGTTTAGCCAGAAATATAAGCAATAAGGTCTGAAGGAGGCCAAGCACACCACCAACAGCCAGCGCAGTTGTTTCTGAAGGGATTTTCCGCCTTTCATGTTTTTCTTTTCTCTTAGCAGCAGTGTTGCTCTTTACAGCCAAAGTTTTGCCGGATTCTGTTTTACATCAACAAACTGAGTAAGATTTTGCAATATTTTAACTTCTTAAGTCAAGATACAAAGGCCAGGGAACATTTTGTATTAAGCTGATGACATTCACTTGGATTGAAGCATACCAAAACCTTCTTCAAACTCCTTCATTTTGTCCTCTGGGATTGAAGCATCCAGATTTTCAAGTGCAGTTTCCTCTGTTGCATAGACTTTTACTGCACCTTTCTCCAAATCACCACACTTTTCTGGTTCACTTGCTATTCTTTTCATCGTGTCTTCCTCAGCAACGAAAGAGGTAGTAATGTTTACTATAGGAAATATAGCTACCTTTGAGACTTGATTGAATATTGCAATTGAAACACCAACGGCAGCTATTTCTACTGAACCTTCACATGCAGAGATGGTGGATTAATATGCATATATTTATCAATTATCTCCAAAAAATGAACAATTCTTTAAAAATCGTATCCATATATGTATTTTCATCTAAGAGACACAAGTGACGTTATGGTTAGAGCTTTAAGAATCTGGTATTTCCAACAGGAACAAGAATGCATTTGACTGAAGAGAAGTTCTAGCTTCCTGTAGAAAATGAAAATGAAAGAATTCCCCGAGCTAGAACTGAAACGGCACTGACACGAAGCTAAGATAGCAGCATGACTGACATCCACAAAAAAAAAAAAAAAAAAAAAAAACTCTCTGCTGTTATATATAATATCTTGCTGAATTTGCAGTTTCAATACTCATGTGATTGAGTCATTACAAACTACAATGGCCTAAAGATGCAAAGTATATTCACATGTATGCCTTACAGATATATTGGGATTGATGTAAATATATGATGCTTAACTAATCAAAAGTATGACTAATCGATGATTTTTATCCAGGATAACCGGAAGCCATGTGCTTTATGAAGCTTACCTAGATGGCCAATGAATGCTGTATCGATTAGAGAGGCAATAGGGTCAGCAGCTAATGCAAGAGCTGCAGGAAATGCTATCTGAAGTATCTCCAAACCAAGATCATCCAGTTTGAAAACGCTCCTGAAACGGTAGAGTTAAGAATCAGTCATTGACAGTATTAACTCTGCCGCAAATCCAATCCTGGTTTTCTGCGTTTCATGATTATCCAATACATGGTCCTATTTTTATAAATTATAGATAGTTAAAAGACGGCCTTAAGTTATACCTAGCACCTTCAAAGAAGACAAAGAGCGGATATTTCCATTTTCTCGCAGGAGAAGCCAGAGAGCTATTTTCTGCCATAAGAATGTCACGGTTCTGGTGCTGAGTTGATATGAGCAGGAAGAAAGCAGCCCAAGTGAAGAAGAGGTAATCCAAAGTATGTGTCTGTCTGAAAACATTGAACTTTTTGTTTTAGAGCTGTGCGGTTATTACATGCATTAAACTTTGGAAGATCAAGTATGGTCATGCATGCATTTTGTAAGGAAATCAATGCTTAACTACTTTCGTGTTGAGACAGGACCAGACAAAAAAAGAAAAATACATGCCGAATAGCCTGGAAAGTTAAACAAAATGTAGAATGATTTTGGCCAATATGCAACCTTAGTAATGAGTGCAAATGCTAACCTCAGAAAATTGATGAAGAGAAACTAATGATAAATTTTTTTAGAAACAGAAGAAGGTAGAGTAAGGTACGGATAATGACAGTAGCTGCATGAATTTATATAGAGTTAGTAATGAGAACTTCCTAAATTGAGGAAGAAACATATATAAAATAATGCATGTTTTTTAAGAACTAAACATGACTTTGCATTGAAGTATGTGTCGGTAAGCCGAAAAGGAAACAAGGGAACAGTAGGGTGCAAATTCACAGTTGCAAAAATGGTGACAACATATATTAAAACCTTCAGTTCTTATTTCATTCTGTTACGTGAGCATTGGTGTATTGTTCTAAACAATATGCTACAAATATCACTCAGCTTAAAAGGTTATTCCAATGTTGATATATAACAGCTTCAATTTAAATCATTCCTTAAGTGATCAGCTAGGATCGGCCAATAAAATCATTCTTTACTGTCATTTTTCACACACGCAAAGTGATCAGGTGAAGAAAAATCCACCATCGGATGGAAAGACAAAGAATACAGTAGTCGAAGAAGGGCCAAAAAAATTCTGAATTTCGCAAAATTCTATGTGCATTAAGCCCAATAAGGTTGATAGTCACATGATTAAGGAAATGTAATAAGCCTTCCTCAGGTAATGACATCCCTAATTGCAACATAACCTCGGACAAAATCCCCATGTCGAATCCAACCAAACCAATAATACACTGAACAGGTTGCAAATTCAACCAAAAGCCATAAAAATTTACCGTACTTATTCCACTAAAATAACCGTTCCATGTAATAAAAAGAAAGAAGAAAAATGACACAAGTTAAGTCAGTGATGTTAAAGAGGCATTGTTGCAAACACCTGGTCAGCATTACAAAACCAACACAGATAGCCTGATAAACCAGGATCTAAAAATGAAGCACAGAAACAGAGAAACTCAATTAGGAAGTAAAAAAAGGAAGGAAAAAAAAGAAAAATGAAAACATTTTCTGACCTCTATCGATGAACCTGAAACCGGCCATGCTTGTCCGATCAAGCCCCTGCATTCACTTCACGGAAATTAAGAATGTGAAAGCACAAAAAAAAGAGTTTCTTTTTGGGGAGTCCAAAATTAAGCAGCGGTCGAATCTCAATTCGCCACGAATGCCTTATGGGTTTCTGAGTGCAGGTCGAATTTTTGCTCTTGAGATCCAACCCCACATAAAACTTGTTGTTTTCCCAACTTTTCTTGCGGATTGAGAAAGCGTATAGGGTATACCATACACAAAGGCTAACCATAATCTCCATATTTATGTTTAGTTCGAAAGTGAAACAGAGGAAGCAAATGAAATTAGTACTATCTTGTTCTTAATTTTGCATGAATACACATTGCGTGCGTTAATGTAAATCAGCTTTAATATTTTTTTTTTTCCTCTTCTCTAATTTGCCGTAATCACAGTTATTAAGATTTAAATTTCACAGACTAGACAACATTTTCAGGGGAGATTAATAATTAATACTATATGGTATGGTATGATGACTTTTAAATACTAGAAAGACCAGAATTCTTTGTACTAAGGTCCTCGCTTTTCAGTAGGTAAATCCTTGCAGCAAAAGGTGCGATCCTTTCTTCTTTTTTTTTTTTTTTTTTTTGGAATTAGTAACCTGAAATTTATGCCGTGCAATTTTGCGGTGGACGTGATTATAGAACCGTCCAAACTTTAATTATTTTATAAGACGGAAAGAATAATGATTATATAGAACCGAATCACCCGTCTAATAAACTTCCATCTAATCTCTCTTCAACAACGAAAATAATTATTAGATTGACTACTAGTTCAACCTACCAAAAAGATAATAAATAAATGACCATACCAATTTCATCAATTACGTCAAGATTTTTGTCATAGAAGTTGCAAATATATATAAATATTATGTTAATACTACGTCATTATTGTCATTGTTCCAAAGTTACCTTCATATTATTTGTTAAATCAATACAACTTCATATATACTTCACCTAAAATCATAGTAATAAAAAAAAAAAAAAAGTTGCAACGAATCTGTCGTGCAAATTCATATGCATATGCCATTTAGCTTTCGATTCTTTTAGTAAGATACTTCCCAAATTCATATGCACGTGGGAACAAAAGACAGTTTGTGCGCGTCAGTTTATTTTGTAAGAAATAAATTATGTGCGTGTAATACAATTTTTAAAATAAGTTTATCATATATATGATAATAAATCAGGTTCTTTATATAAAATTTCACTCGTTAGAAAATCATTTTGGGCTTGCAATCCATACACGTTATATGTATTTGGTTGAATGCGTTAAAGGGCATGATTGAAATTGTTGAAACGGATGAAATTAAAATAAGGAAAGAAAGCTTGGCTTACAAATATGAAGAAATTAAATACTCTTTGTCGCAAAATATAATATCTATTGAATTTGAAATTTTGTACTCCGTTGTCTTTGGAATATTATTTTTAAGTACAAATTTCAAATTTTATGTCTATCTTACTCCTTTTTCTCTGATCCTCTGTTCATGATGAAATCCTTCCCTCAAACCCTAGCGGAGCTCTTCATGTTATCAGAGCCATAGGCTAGATACTGTGGAAAACCTACCGTATATTTCTACCGTCTACAGTTTCGAACTCTTTTACCGGTTTAAATTCAATTTTCAGTGTTGAATCATGGCGAATCGCGAAGTTCTCAAAGTCCGTAGTGCAGAGCAGGTTCATCATAAAAAAGCATCAATGACAAGGTGAGCTGAATATAAATATGAAACCAAGAAGAAAAACAAAAAATGGCAAGCATTAGATCGATTTGAGGCTGTCAGGCGTCCAGTGCAAGCCCACCGAAAAGGTTCATCAACATATCTAAATCCCAGGCTGTCACCTGCTCCCGTTGTTATCAAATCATGAGTGAGACGAGAATTACCAGTGTTTACATAATAATTTCACATACTCTGGTTTCCAAACCCAAAGATAACACTTTTTTCAATGATTTGCAACTATGGGGTTTTACACTATGAAGCTATAAATAAAAAATGTACTTGCTCATTAAGAAATCCATTTGCAAAGGAGATAAAATGGAAGGGTTTCCTGTATCTTGTCACTAAATGAGGTACCATCCTAATACTATAAAACTTGCATTGAGATTGTAACAGTCATCCAAATTGAATAAAGTGCAGTTAGTCTTTTAGAAATGAGGTCATCATCAGTCATACTTATCCAACCAAAATGTACAGATTCTCAAGTCCAACTGAAGTGAAAACAGATTATGTTTGAGCAATCATTGATGTTGATAGGGGGGAAAAGCCCAAAACAATAATTACCTCCTCCTCCAGCATTCTAGTTCTGGCCAGGTTGCCTGCACACGAAAAAACAACTGCATTAGCAAACATGAAGAAGCGAAAATAGGCATTGAACCTACTCAATATTGTATCATAAAGGCAATAGGGAGCACAAGACACAAATCGTGAAACAGCCAGTCCAACAGGTATAAAGGGCCAAAAACAAGGAAGAAACCACATATGACCCAAACTAAGACTACAAAATCAGATACAAGTAGACACGATTAAGTATCAGCATATAACATGACAAGGCAGAACAACATCAGGTGGCAACGAAAGTTAATTAAAAGATTTCAGTTTAATGACTTTCCAAGGAGCTTAGTAGCTGGCAGAAACTTATTGATTCATGTATTTATGATGTGAATTAAACATAGTACAAATGTAGATAGCATATGAGCATCATAATCATATTTGAGAAATCTCTGCTGAGGATCAGCAACTAATCCTGGGTGAAATGCTAACATTGAAGACCGTCAAGCAAAAATTATAGGGGAAGATGACATATACAAAACCTCATCCAAGCTAATGGAACTGATAAAAAATCACATAAATTTCAGAACATCACAGCACACACACCAAAATTCGAAATTTGAATTTTAATAGGACAATCTTAAAGTGGAAGCACTACACTAAGCCATAGCTGATGGGCAGAAGTTCTGAGTTTTATTAACAGAAAATGGACTCAACTCTTACAAAATTCATATCAAGGCTTTCCTTTCAATAAAGAAAAAGAACTCAACAGCAAGATAAACGGTTTCATCCTCTTTCTTTTCCTATTGAGTGGATCGTTAACCATGTTATAGACAAAAGAAATACAGGAAAAAAGGTTTCTTGTCGGTAATAGTCAAGAAAGAGCAACTGGAGTGAGATCATATCAATGACATTGGAAGTAAAGAAGCTTAGACACACATGTAGAGTGACTGAGATTAATAAGAGAATGAAAGTAACTCAATATGTTTTTAGAAGAGAAGACTCCTTTATGAAGTTAAAAATAAATTCGCTATGAGATATGCGTAAATATAATCCAGGGCTCTTAAATAGTGCAATTCGCTACTTATTTGCACTTCATTATGCAATCCTTTGGTATGCTAAGGACAGATAGAGGTTGTTCGTGCATTGCAATTTCAGTTTCCTCATAAAAAGTCAAATTAAGACGAGCTGCAAGTCTCAAGCCACGTAATACCCTTGCTGAGTTAGAAAGAGCGCCCACAACCATAATTTTCAGATACTACTGCATCTTCGACGTAGACAACAATATCTGAGACTGAAAGAAATATATATACTTACCACAGGCTTCTTCAAATGACACTTGGGCTGGTATAAATGTCCGGAGCTGAGACGAACCATTCAAAAAGGTGTTTAGGAAATACCATCATGTTACAACTTAGCAAAATAACTTCCAACTTAGCAAAACTAATCACTCACCTTTGATGACATTAAATCTGAAAGAGCATTGTCATAATCACAGGTTTTGTGGGGGAAAGGATCATTGAACAAGCAGCTCTGTTGCAAAAAATGGAATATGAGGAGTTAGATGACACAAAAGAATGCTTTAAAAAACTGAAAATGAAAGAGCCTTTGAGGAAGAAAAGAGATCCATTGCAAATATAAGGAGAATAAGGAGTTAGATGACAGAAAAGAATCCTTTTGAAAAACTGAAAAAAGTTACTCTAGATCCACATCTTTGAGAGTCATGTAAAAAGCTCAGGAGGTAGGGAAAGAAAAGGAAATGTAAGCAGACTCAAACAGCATGTGCCACTATTTGTCCTAGGGGCAACTCGAAGTCTTCAGAATTTCCATATATCTAACATAAAATCACTCAGCACTAGTATACTGCTTGATTTTTTAATTTTTTTTAATTTTTTTTTTTTACAAATTACCCAAAGGTAAAGAAACTAAATTATTTTGTAGGCGAGTACTTTTCTTATATGAAAGAGATTTTTTCCTTTTTAAAACACAATTATCTTAAAGAATACATCAATGAAAATATAAAAAATGATTAACGAGGGGAAAACAAAAAGGACAACCAATTAAATGGGATTTAAATCTCCATGAACTGACACTGAAAACCTAAGGACTTGCTTTCATGGTTGTCCAAAAATATCTCTTACACTTGGAGAGAGACATCGTAAATCCCTCAAAGATCAACTGAAACATGAAGCCAAAGTATGACATAATGTCTTCCGTTTCCTACAGATAATATTTTGGTCTCAAATGCTAATTTTCAATGTTTTCTGTCTTTTCTTTTCCAAATGCATAGCAAGATTTATCTGGAACAAGCACAGTAGGGAACATGAAAATTTTGCAAGTTGTGTATGTTTTCATGATTGGGATGTCCGTCCTCTTCCATTTCTATGCTTCACAAAAGAAAACATAGCAGCAAAAAGAAAATAATGTTGCTACTCTTTACGTTATGAATCAATTATGTGCACCCTCAGGCCTCAATATTGGAGAAAATAACTCGTTTCATGCTTTTGTTTAACGTAAGGAACAAATTGTTCATGATCCATATTGCTCAATGGCCAAAGTGACCTAGTGGCCATATGTATCTGAAGATGAGTTGATACTACTCACTCACATTATGTCCAAATATGCCTGTTAACCGTAAAATCTGGATGCATGCAATTCTTCCAACCAATAAGGTCTTTTTAATAGCCTTTAGGCAGTTGATATAGTGGAAAATTCTCTCTACCTTCATGAAGTTCAGTCATTGTGTTAAAATTCGACGTCTGGAATTCAATCAAATAAAATCAATAATTGTGGGTCACTTGGAAGACTGGTAAATTATCAAAACCACATTTATAACTCATAAAACTATTATTTAGACAATGGATCTAACTAACTTCTATGCCGACACTTATAACCATTTCCCGAAACAACAACTGCAAGACACTACTTCAGAGAAATAAAAAATTAAAAGACAAAGTAAAATCAAACTAATAGTAAAAGTATCCACAGTAGAGCCTTTTATCTTCATGTTTTAGGGAATCCTTTTTCGATAATTATGCAATTGCAGAATCACTTTTTCCCTGTTATTCAAAAACATACATTTGATTTAACTACCAGGAGAAGTCTTGCCAAAGATTGTCTGAACCAATCCAGTACAGATGAACTAAGATATGCACAACCTGCCTAAACATGAACTAAGAAAAGAACCTGAGAAACTGCAGCCATAGTGATCACATCAAAATTTTTGGACATTCTATTCAGTAGAAGATCTCTAACACAGCCTCCAACCAATTAGGCTTCAAAACCTAGTAACATTTTTACCCGTAGAAACAAGAAGAATATGAATAAGTTGCTAGAGTGAAAAAGGTTTGTAGTGTATCAAACTCTAAGAAACAATAGTCAGAAGCGTCACAATTTCATAACGACTTTAGCCACATGGGATTACCTCACTAGTTCATCTCCTTTCAGCCCAAAACACAACCCCATCCTTTCTCATCCCCATTCTTCTTTTGTGATATAAGAATTGATTCTCTACAAACGTCTGCAAAATCCTACTTTACCATGGTATGACATAGTAGTTCCATGTTTAACTATCTCTGCTTGATTACTCATAACAGTATTTATGGTCCAATTATGGCCGCATTCTTTCAGAAAAAAGTGTAAACAAGAAATTACAACAATTACTGTTGTGCCATTTGTTCAGTAACGTAAACCACAGAGGCAATATATGCAGTTAATGACTAATCCTAAGGAGTGATATAGTAATGTTAAAACAATCTATCTCTGCATCAGATTTGTTCAGCTTACTAACTAGTTATCTAAATTCTAAGGCCGTATGACTTGGTTGGATTTCGTGACTGCAGCTGAGAAACTTCCAGAAAGATTCAATATCTTGTTGATGAATTGGAAAGTATACCTGCCCTTTGAAGAATTTTGATAACAGTTTTGGCATCATCGATTGGTGTATCCCCAACTCTCCCGAATCCAGCTTCTTCCATTTTGAAAATTTGATCCCTCCTAAACCAGATATAAGCAAGATTAAAACTCCTGAAGTACAATTTACATGCCAAAGAATAAGACTGAACAAAAAGGCCTCAAACAATTGCCCCAGAAAAACTTAGAATGCCACAAAACGGTAAAATATCTCAAGAACTTGTTTGAATAAATTAACAATGACTGAACTCTGGAACGTGAAAAAGGAACAAGCAGGTACTCAGTTGAGAAACATAAAGATAATAATCAATCACCATTGGCAAACACATAACTTAACAGCATTGGGCCTTTATCTCACTATGCAGGGTCTCTCTCTAGCCACACAGAGTGAAGGCAAAATATCACAGATGGGTGAACCTATTTACTTTCTATGAAAGGACATCCCTATGCATATAAGCTCCTCAACTGGCAAAGGGTCAGGTTGTCAAGGTCCCTTGTCCTGTTTTTGACTTTCAATTTGATGAAAAACATCACAAAGGAAACTTTTTGTACTTTTATTAAAATTATAGTAACTGCAAGAAAAGAACTGCGCTCAAAGCGCCCATTACAGACAATGCTAAATGTGTCATAAGTCATTATGCTCTGTATCCTAGCAAGTCGAACAAATGAAACAGAATTAATTTGAATTTGATTTCCTTTTCTGGTGAAGTTCAGAAATTAATCATGTCAGCAAATTTAGCATCAACAAGAAATACATAGCGTAAAATGATCACAACTTCAAACGGACACATACGAACCGAAAATAGTAAAACAAAAACGACAACCAAAAGTGAGCTGCACCTTTATTCTTGGATATGAAGGAAGTCATTTAAACTGTGAGACATTGGCAGGCTTTCCATCAATAGGTGGTAGTGGTGATAGGTCGTTCAGAACACAGAGGGAAATAGGATCCACATGTTGGTACTCAAAAGGCTTGTTGAAATTGGAAGAATAACCAATAGACAACCATGATTAAAAGTTCAAAAATATATATACACACATATATGCAATTTGATTCTACAGTATTAAGGGGACTTCACTATGAAGTCCGCAAGAAGGCAACTCTCAAGTGCTAGTGGTACTGGACCCTGGCTAATCTTGTATGGTCACACCATTTTGTTGTAAAGCATGCAATGATCACATAATTAAATCTGTTAAGACACCTTAATAGCAAGGATATAAAATTAAAATGAGAATTGTAGAAAGTCCATTTGAAACCTATCTATTTTACTGCAAATTTTCATATTTCAAAATTCAAATTCTATAGAACTCGAAACTCATGCAAAGGTATAAAATCTGTGGTCAGGATGAGGAAGCAGAACGCTGAACAAAACCAATGTAAGTTGATCACTTCTAAGGTCAATTGAGAGAAATGTCATAGCAGTGTCCGTTTGCCACATTTGGAGTCGAATAAAGGCTAAAGGTGAACAATTAAGTACCGCTCGGGCAGTTCATTGCCGAGTTTAGAAGCAAAATTAATGATGTATTTTCAGTTGGAGTGACAAGTTTCTCAAAAAAGCAAAATCACAATGTAAAAATCTAATAATGTATTATCAACAAAAGGAGGCCTCCAACAAATGAGCTTAATGCTTTTAATGTGCTAGCGTCCTAGTTTTCCTGGACATATCAAGATTGAAAGAGTTGTGCGGTGCTCAGGTTTCTCTATCACAACCTAAAAATACCATTGCACTTGCTTTTCACAAAAATGAAAACGAATAGATGATTCTTCCGGAGGAGAAAACTAAACATACCACGACCCGTGTCAGCAAAATGTGACAACCATCTGTCCATCTCCCGCCAGAGTATGATTGAAATTCTGAAAAAACACAGTTCCATAGCCTGTTAAAGAATTACTGTCAGGATAATGTTCGACGAAATGCCTCGACGAGAAAACAGTAATTCTGGAAGGGAATTTCTTTTTTTAAAAAAAAAAAAAATGCTGAAAGCAAAAGAAGGATACCTGGTAGGTGAGAGAGCATTTGAGCTTCGGGGCAAATACAATTTTTCTTGGCTGCCGAAAGTGAAAACGTGGATGAAAAACAAAAATCTCATCTTCAATCAATCTCTTAGATTAAACTAATATGTTAATTTGTATACAAATAAAAATTGTATCCATTAATGAAAAAATAATTTAAACTCGTGCTTGACTGCAACAGCTCGGATAAATTTGATTGTAAACCATAAACATGGAAATTTTTGTAATCTTTCATAATTAAGAGATATTAAAAAAAATGTATATATAACCTAAACTTAATGGCATCATTATCCGGCCAAAATTTAATCATCATATCAAATTCACTCAATATACTACAGGCTACAGCTATACATTCCGCTTAATCAATCACGCAATTATCATTTTTTTTTTTTGTATAAACGTGTCTACATTCGTTATTCTTGCTTCCTGCTAAAATAGGGAATTGATTCATCATTTAATCTTCAATAAATTCTGTGCCTATGATGATTACGTGCAAAACCTAATTGTCGAAATTTGGAAACACTATAAATTTGTATGCTATTCGACCGAATTACACCACAAAGCACTAAAAACTAGTATCTTAGAGAAAAAAAATGTGTTTACATAGCATCGAATCAAATATATCGACTATCTAATTATGGTAATCAGTGATGTTGTTACGATCTAACTAAATTAGCTTAGTCTAGTTCTTTTATAGTATTGAATTTATCTTTGTTTTTGTGATAAGTATAACGCGTACAACGAACTGTTTTACCTCGTTATAAAAGTTTATAATTTGCTCTGTTTTTTAGATTAATGAATTGTTAGAGACTGTAAATATATAAGTGTTTGTAAATGTTTATTTACTTTGTACGGTTTTACCGAAACCCTAACCGGAAACCCTAATTGTATAAATGTTGTAACGTGATTAATGAAAAGGCACTTTTCTTTTCGGCAGACAATTCTGAGGAATGCCGGTTTGTTCAAATCTTGTCATGGTATCAAGAGCAAGGTTGATCTTGTTCTAAAACTATACAATTTTTTTTTTTTTTTTTTTTTTACGATCATGGGTGACCATGATGATCGTGTTGAAACTTCCGGCGTGAAGGAGAAGACCGTTGCTACCCTTGACAGCAACACTGCTGTAGCTAACCGGCGAAAGATCTCGCCTTAGGATTTGACGGCGAATGATAATTCCGGTTCGTTGATTACCAATGTTCAGTTTAAAGGAAGTAATTATGAAGAATGGTCACGGGCGATCAGAATGGCACTTCGGGCTCGGAAAAAATTTGGTTTTCTGGATGGTTCAATCAAACCTCCCGTCGATGATGATGATCTTCTTGCTGATTGGTGGGCGAATAACAGCTTGCTGTGTTCCTGGATTTTGAACACTATCGAGCCATCCACCAGGTCCACGATCTCATCTCTAGAGGATGCTCGAGAATTGTGGCATCATATTCGATCGAGGTTCTCCGTTGTTAATGGCACTCGTATTCAACAACTCAAGTCGTCTTTGGCCGAATGCAAGCAGAAAGGTTTGTCCGTGGCTTCCTATTACGGCAAATTGATCAAAATTTGGGAGGAGTTGGCTGATTACGATCAACCACCGGTCTGCAAATGTGGTCTTTGTCGTTGCAATCTTGCTGCCGAATGGGATCGTAGGCGTGAAGACGAGAAAGTGCATCAATTTTTGATGGGATTGGATGCCACTCTTTAAGGTACTGCTCGGTCAAATCTTTTGGCTCAAGATCCACTTCCTACTTTGGATCGTGTTTACTCTGTTATGACTCAAAAGGAGAGGCTTCGTTCGGCTGCAATTGAGTCTGAGATTCATGGTGGCGAGGCTGCGGCATTTGCGGTTCACGTTGCTCCCTCTGCCGCTGCTGTTTCTGGTTCGCGTCCGACGCCGCCAACTTCTACTGCTGGTTCCAGTTCGAGAGGCCATGGCCGTGGTCGTTCTGGCCCTGACCAAAGTCAATTGATCTGCACGTATTGCAGCAAACCCTATCATGATGAGTCCACTTGCTTCGTGAAGCACGATTATCCGGATTGGTATCGGGGATCTCGCGGAGCTGCTACTGGTGGCACATCATTTGCTCCACCCGGTGGTGCTGCAGTGCCCCTTGCTGATTCTTCTCAGATTGGTTCTCTCCCCGCTGCAGCCGCCGGTCGTGATACAGGACGTAGAGGTGGTCTTACTCGTGGGTCGGTGCATGCTCATGCAGCACATGTTGTTGATGCATCGGCTGGGTCTCTCTCGTTGGGTGCTGGTGATAAGGCAGTTACCGGTCTTAATGATGATCAATGGCGTAAGATGATAGATCTTTTAAACTCGGGCAATGGTGGTCATGATTCCCTTACCGGTACGTATTTTTCTGCCAAATGGATGTATGATTGTGGTGCGACACGTCACATGACAGGTTTTCGGGAATACTTGACAGACATTCGGGATATTGTCGCATGTCCGGTTCAACTTCCTAATGGCACATTGACTCTCGCCAACAAAGCTGGGACGGTTGTTCTTAATAACAATGTCAAATTGCTCAATGTGTTGTTTGTTCCGAATTTACAATGCAATTTGATTTCATTGTTTCAATTGTTGGATCAGTCTCATTGTATTGCTCAGTTCACTAATACTTTTTGTGTTATCCAGGACCGTACTTCGAGGATGGTGATTGGCGCGGGTGAACAGTTGGGGGGTCTCTATTGGTTCCGGGGGACAGTTACGACTGCTGCTGTTCGTGCTGGTGATTCTTCGGCTTCTTCCTTGTGGCACCACCGACTGGGGCATCCGTCGTCTCGTGTTCTTGAAAAGTTAGCTATTTCTGATTCTGTTCGTAGAGGTTGTTTGAATAATACAGCTTGTGATGTTTGTTTGCGTGCAAAACAATCACGAGATAGCTTTCCTATTAGTCAAACTCAGAGTGTTGAGCTTTTTCATACATTGTGATTTGTGGGGTCCGTATCGAACTCCCACTTTTTCTGGTGCTAGATATTTTTTGACAGTGGTTGATGATTTTTCTCGTGCTACCTAGCTTTTTCTGCTTACGGATAAATCTGAGGTTTCTAAGACTTTGATACAATTTTTTGCTATGGTTTCCCGCCAATTTGGCAAATTGGTGAAAGTTGTCCGTAGTGATAACGGTTCTGGATTTCTCTGTATGAGTTCCTATTTTCATGATCATGGCATACTTCATGAAACATCTTGTGTTGGCACACCGCAACAAAATGGCCGGGTTGAACGCAAACATCAACATATCTTGAATGTTGCTCGTTCTTTACTTTTTTCAATCTAATTTACCTCTTGAGTTTTGGGGTCACTGTGTGTTGACTGCTGCCTATCTCATTAATCGCCTTCCGACAACTATTTTGGATTGTAAATCTCCTTATGAATTTTTGTTTGGCAAAGCCCCTCCTCTTGATCACCTCCGAGTCTTTGGGTGCTTATGTTATGTACATCATCGAGACCGGGGTGGTGATAAATTTGCCAGTCGTAGTCGTCGTTGTGTTTTTGTTGGATATCCTTTTGGGAAGAAGGGTTGGCAAGTCTATGATATTGAGTTAGGAATTTTCTTGGTGTCTCGGGATGTTGTGTTTCACGAGGCTGATTTTCCCTATTTGACATCTGTATCTGAGGAGTCTACTCGTATGAGTCCTAATTTGTCTGTTCTTATCATTGATAATGATGAGCACATTGTTGTTAGTTCCTCTCCTCATGTTGAGTCCTCCCCTTCAGTTTCTCAATCTGGTGAAGTATTCGTTGATAAGGGGGGCTCCAATGTAAATATATAAGTGTTTGTAAATGTTTATTTACTTTGTACGGTTTTACCGAAACCCTAACCGGAAACCCTAATTGTATAAATGTTGTAACGTGATTAATGAAAAGGCACTTTTCTTTTCGGCAGACAATTCTGAGGAATGCCGGTTTGTTCAAATCTTGTCATGAATATCACTTTTGAAAAAAGAAAATGGATATTCCACCAGTAGGATAATCAAAGTTTGAATTTGTTGTTTAAGAAAAAAAAAGTTTGAATTTGTGGAGTATGGGACAAACCAAGCTAGGATATGTTGATCAAGTCGAAATATGTTATACTATTATGGACAAAAAGGTTATTTGTTGCTGCACTCTCCTTGTACTACAATTGCTTTTTATTTTTATTTTTTTAAAAAAATTATACACGAATTACACCTCTCTCTCTCTCTTTTTTTTTCTCTTTCACTGATGTGATCTTCTTTAATATGTAGTTGCTTCGATTAGGAAAGATCTGATTAAATGATTTCGATCACGCGTAACTGAAGAAAGTTGCATGTACTTTTTAAATTAATTTTGTTTACTTTTGAGCGAGAATACTATAGTTGTGTATATTGATCCATTTGCATAAATTGCAGTACCGGACGTCGGTCATTTGAGTTACTTGGACAATTTTTTGCCAACCAATCCAAATCCTTCTATTTTTAATCAAACCGGCAGGTTGTCACGATTTGCGGTTCAGATATACCAGTTTAGAAGTTTTCAAAAGGAGTAGCGATACACACAGCACAATGAAAACTACAAGAATGATGTATCAATAATTTAAACCATATCATCTATTTATAGTATTATATTAAGATATAAACTAGAGAGAAAAACAAAAAATGATTTTTAAGGGTGTCACATAGGATTTTATCCTAATCATTTTTCTAACAAATGACAAAAATAAAAGTTTATGCAATTACATTAAAAGTTCTTGAGATTTTATATAAATAAATTTTATCAGATCTCATTTAAATCATTAGTTGCAAATGAAAAGATTAGAAGAGTTAATGTACGGTCATAAATCAACGTTCAATTTTAAAAAAGTCAAACAATTAAAAAAAAAATAGATCAATCAATCAAGATTAATACCATAGAAATTCAAAAAGCAAAATACTATATAAACTTTTTCACTCATCAAAATTAATACAATTTTTTTTTATCCGCTCAACTCAGAATTATGGTGCCTATTCATTATAGTTAATGTTAATTTTTTTTAATTAGTGTTGATTTGATCAATACTAGGGTAAGAATCTTTATATCTTTAATATATTAAAGGAGGGTTTTCAATCGAACACATGGCGCGATATCTGGCTAATCCACGTGGCGCAAAATTAGATGCCCAAGTCCACATGTCACAAGCACATCACTCCATCATTTAATGATAAATTTTTAATGTAAAAAATTATTAAAAAAACTAAATTAACTAATAATTACAAAAGTTAAAAAAGTAAAGTTAACTTCCTAATTTTTTAGTAGTATTCTGTCGATCCTCCTCCCTCCCCCTTCCCTCCACCCACACACACTGATGAAGAGAAACACAATTGATAAAACAAAACAATTTAGTTAACTTCATAAAACCTAAAAAAAAACTTAGCACAACTTAGTTAAATTTATAAACAATTTAGTCGGATGCTTTAGCTTAGTCATCGATCAAAACCTAAGCAATAATAAGTTTAGTAAACTTATTGGCTGTAAATTTATTAGATTTTGATAACTCAGTCGAATCTAAAAAAGTAAATAAGTTTACTAATTTAGATAAATAAACTTATTAGTTTAGCACAGCTTATTAGTTTGATATGATTGGATTGTTT